GTGCGAGCGACTGTGCGCCCCTCGCACGCCCCAGGCTCTCCTCCCGGGGCTCAGCTCTCTCGCGGAGCCCTGGGGCTCCTCTCTCACCTCCAGGTTCTGCGTGTTCCGGAGCTCGGGGGCCCCCAGATCCCAACGGATCCCCTGCAGGAGCGGAAGGGTTAAGAATGATGTAAGTACAAATCATTCTCTGCTGGCCGCTGAGATATCGGACTCTAGGCTGTGTCAGACCCTGCTTTACTCACCTGACTGGGGAGCAGCGGGGCGAGCCCTGAGTCTACAATGGGTTGTAATCTCAATCCTGGGTCTGATTCCTGCCTGCAGAGCCCTAGGTGATTTGTTAAGCAGGCAGGGTTCCTCGTGTTAGATTACTGGAAACGGAAACATAGTAACTGGGGAACAGTTAAGACATCTCTTAGGGTTCAGAAAATGAAACCACATCTTGTTGAGAATACATTAATGTTTCTGGCATATGTTTTAATTCTATCCACTTTCATGATCATACGGTGGTGTGCTTTCTTTGCTGGGTCTCTTAAATGTACTGTGTTGGTCTAGCTTTCCTTCCGGAAAAGAATGCAGAGGGAAGAAAGACTACAAGTGACAAGAACCAGGGTGGACTTGTGAGTTGTACAAGTCGTATCACATCATGACTTTTTCTGATTAAAATGTAAAACCTTTACAAGTTATCAATTTCATGTTTGTGCCCTAGCTCCCCTACCAGATTTTTATTTGTAGCATCCAAAATCTTCCATAACTTGCAGTCCACGAGCTTGAGGAGCACTAGAAACGACCATTCAGTCGCTCTCGATTTCGGAGCTGATCTCAGATCTTGCCAGCGTCCAAATTTACCCGCAAGTGTGTCAACTGGCTTAATGTCATGAAAATAGGAACCACCTTGCGGTTTAATTGTGAAAATTAGCATTTTCCTCTAGCGGTTGAACACTTAAGCAGCAATAAAAAAGTGAATTGTTAGGCTTATAAATCTTGAGCTTGTCAAATTTTACAACAGCAGAGCAATAAAGCACCTTAGAGGAGATGAAGTTTTTCCTCTGAAGCACAGCTCTGTTTCTTGACACCAGGATTTACAGTGACTCCAGGACGCCCTCTGTTGATTTAAAAAAAAAAATCTAGAGAGCCTCTGTATTTAAGGAACAGGTTGAGGCTGCGGAGGGCAAGAAAAGTTACCAGTAGAAAGATCTAAACCAAGTTGAAGTTATTGATCCTTAATTTAGGTTTACATGTTTTTAACTATGATTAATAAAGTGGGATGCTTTTTCATAGAGATTGAAATCGAGTTAAGAGGAGAAAAAGCCCCTACATTTTGTTGTTAGTCTTTGTCACCTAAACATTTTATTAAAAGCCCAATGTCATGATTGCTTTTTAAAAAGACAGTAATATTATATGAACTTTATGAGTTACATGTAGCAATTGCAATGGTAAATTTTTGCTTGAGTATTTAGGCCACCACATTGTCTAAAAATACTAGATATCCCCACCCACACCCACTCTGCCGTCAAAAGTCATTTCTCCAGGCAACTCTGAGGCTGTTATTAAGTATATTAAAGATAGACACAAGGTGTGGATTATATCGAGGGTAGTGAAAGGTGTGATTACTACTTGAATCATCATGGTATGAAGTAATGAAAAGTTACAGTAGAAACAGATATGTGTCCTTCATTAGGGACCTGGCGGTTTGAGCAGCTTCCAGTGTGTCTAAAGAGTAAGCTGGTGAGACCTTAGCTTGGCGCCCAAGTATCCTGGTCCATTGATTAGCACGTTCTAGAGTGGAATATTCACATGTCGGTGAATGATACGAAATTCCTAACTAGAGATTCTGACTAATACAGCGGACAGAGCTGCAGATTGCAATTTGGATGGAGTAAATGGATTTAACATGGCAGCCCTGAGCAGTTGGGGCAACTGCAGAGACCAGAAAAGTATGAAATGTCCCCGGTCTTGAGGAGATACCACTTCACACTTCGTGATAACAAATTGCAACCTATCGTCAGTCTTACAACTGTTTTCCCATCTCGATTGGGTAGTCCTTTCCCTGGCAGACATTGGTGCTTTCCTCAGTTTTGGACCCCTCCAACCTCAAAAGTAGAAAACGATCTATCACTGAATTAACCTAATAGACTGTGGAAATTTGTGCAAACGCCATTTAACAACAACAAATCGTGGCGTAATTATCTTGGATAAAAACTCCCCACTCTCATTATTCTAATTACATTGCAACCGAACACGTTTAAATTCGCCCGCTCTCAGACCCTTCCTCGCTACTGCGAGGCAAAGAAATGTCAAAGAAACCAGATCTTCTGAGTCCCTCCCGCAGGTGCTTCCAGCCCCTCGGAGCTGCTTGGAGCCGCGAGTTCGCGTCCCTAAACAGGGGCGAGCAGCTCGCTGGGGGGTTCGGCACGAGCGATTGGCGGCGGGGGAATCCCGCTGCTGCTGGGCAGGACAGGCTCCGGAACTAAACCGGGGTCCTCCACGCAGCTGAACGGACGGGCAGACCGGAGGGGAGGGGCGATTGCTAACAAAACTTAGGACACCGAATCCGATCGCATTTGTCCTAGGAAAGGTTAAAGGCCGGTCCTCCGAGCGGCCGGCGAGAGTGAGAGTTGCCGTCGCCGATTTCTATTGGGTGTGAAGAAACAGTAAATCGCGGAAGGGGGAGGGAGGCCCGGCCCAGGCTCAGCAAAAGAACTCGCAGGCCGGGGACTCGGAACTCGAATTACAGCTCGCAGGCGGGAGGCGGAGGAGGCGCGGGGACTGGCGCTTTGAGCCCCTGAGGGGCGGGACTGGCCGTGGAAGAGCGCTCGCCGCCAATGGAGAGTGCCGG